TGAACATTTATGGTTGGATTTCTTTGTATGTATGGATCACTTGGGTTGTTACCAACATCTGGTGAAAATTTCATGTCATTAGCACCTCTAGTAATATATTTACTGAGAAAAATGGTGACGTGTTCAATACTTATTTTACTCGCTGTAGCTGAGGGAGGAGAGAGCAAGTCTCCTCAGGAGGATGTGGCCCACTTAAATAGACTGTTCACACCTGCAGATGGTTGATGATTACAGGTGAGAGTCTACCTGGAAAGTGAAAGACACATAAACCCCCACCCTTAAAATGATTACTCTAAGCAATCAAAAACAAAATCCTAAAAATTGTACTTCGTCCATCTAAGTACAATGTTGCAAAAACATTTAGTCTCTCTGGAAGTTTTGTCACAGCTGCTGGTTGGAGCCTGAAAACAGCAAGGCACCTGAAACATCACAATATTTTAACACAAGAATGCGTGCTAAATTTTCTTAATGGGATAAAACTGTTAATATCAGTAGCACAAAGGACGTTCTACCCAATCCTGCAACAAAACAGTCACAGACCCCACATTACTAGCAATTACAGCTAGTCTGAAGAATGTGCCAAAGCCTGGTGCCAAGAGGAACAACTTGTTAAAAGGTGCTGAGTTTTAAAAAAAAACATCTCTTCGGTTCACACGAGGAACCTTTGTGTCCAGCACTTTAAAGCGCTGACTGATGTCAAAGTTGCAGACTTCAAGACCCACCATTTAGAGAAACCATTAAGTTCTCAGCTGAATGATTGAGCACCAAAGGTCTTATTCCTTCCACTTTAGCCTTAACACAACCACAGTTGCCTGATCAAGTTCATACTTAGAAGTTCAGTGTCAGTTTTGCTGTTTAAAATTATCTAACTTCAGGTTGAGAGTAGTTTTGATTATGTACAGTAAAACTATTTTCTCTCACAAAGCAGTTTAAAACAAACCCAGACACATGAATACACCCAATGAGGATCTTGACACTGCTGCAAGGCACACATACGTAACCTGTAACCTACACAAATGGAGCAAAACAGCCACAAACAAAAAGGATTAATTTCACTACACGTCACACAGAAGTAGCTACTAATCCAAACCAAACATGATCTTGTCACCATCACAAATGGTCACAAAGTGGTACTACACCACAAGTTACTAAATACACTAAAAGTCACTGCAACATATGTCTAAACACAAAATGAGTCTCACCCACACAAATGATCACTAGCACTGCCACCCAGTACTACACAAAGTTGCTTCCACTCAGCTAACAACATCTACAGTGATCCAACAAAATTGGGCAGACCTCTAAGACTCACCTCAGTCCTGGGCATTTCATAAAGTCTGATACAAATATACAAAAGGGCATGTCCACAAAACTGCAACAATCATTCATTACACTGAGGCTGGTTCACCAAAACACTCTCTTAAATGTAGTTGTCTCTAAAGCTTATTCTAAACTCAGGCAATGGCCAACCACGAGCCAAACATTCAGGTAGTTAGATATTCAAATTAAAGATTGTAATTCACAGAAAACTTTATAGCAAGATGTTAGCTTAAGTTGTTGACCTGCAAAATGTTTAAGCAGAGAACAGTTGCCATCAAAAGCAATTTTAATTCAACATAGCTTGTGCTCAACACCAAAACCACTGCTATCCAACAGCTCACAGCTGACAAAGTGGCATGTGACACAAAATGGCTGCAATACCACACCAATGGGCAAAAGCTTCACCCATCAAGCTATTAAAGCTTTATACAAAAGATTACTTTGCCCCTTGCAAGCACATAACCTGCTGGTAATCACTACTGTAAGTACTGCTAACCCACAATTAACAAAAACACACAACACACTAAAGTTAGGATCATGGACCCAACATAATGCTCCTAGAAGCAAAACACTCACCTAACTTTACACAAAAACTTACTTTTACCTCCTCCCCTACACAGTATGGTTTAAGGCGTGCCAGGCTGAAAGAGAAACAAACAAAATTAGAGCAATCCCTGGGCCTACACACCAAACAACACTCACCTAATTATATTCTAGGGTGTACCGGGCTCGAGGCGACTTTAAACGCTGAACTCAAGGCCCACAGCAAACCAAAGATACAGCTTACTGCAGTACTCTGAAGAGTGCCCCCACCCAGGATAGCCCCGAAAACAAAAAAGGCAAAATAACAAAAGAGTGATCGTTGGAAGGACCTAGAAAAAGCCCAGCTGGACCACTCACCTATCTAACCAGGGAGCTCTAGAAATGATTTCTCTTTCAGCATGACCAAACAAAACACCACAAATAACCATACTCGCCAAACTTTTGTCAAACTAGAAAAAAGAAAATCACAAAATTACTACATTCACCAACCAGGAAAATCACACCAAACAAATACAAAGTCTAGGAGAAATAAACTAACAAAACCAAACCTGTCCTGAAACCAATCCCGGACGAGCCCCCATTATGTTACGACCCACTGGCTCAAGGGAAGCGACATAAATGCGACAACCAGACCAGAGGTGGAGTTTGACTAAAAAAGTTTATTAAAACTAAATGGCTAGTTGTGAGGGGACACCAGCAAAACTGCACCCATGTAGCTGAGGGAGGAGAGAGCAAGTCTCCTCCTCAGGAGGATGTGGCCCACTGTGGCCCATCAATGGTTGATGATTACAGGTTAGAGTCTACCTGGAAAGAGAGAGATACATACAGTCTTGTAACACCCCCACGATGCACGTTCGGTCCTCATGAGGCTGCTTTTTTGGGGGAAAATTTAAAGTTTTCGCACAATGACTGAGGCTTACTTTGAGTTTGTCTGTCCTATTTAAAGTTCAAAGACTGACAATCACAAGTGTTTGGTAACAACGGTGACCACAATGAGTTATTGGCAGCAGCTCTAACATTTTTTGTGTTCTTGCTGCATTTTGCTCTTCTTCTTCAGTGTGTTCATCTTCATGTCTGACATTTATCATCTAAGGTTATTACAGAAATCCCAGCCTCCTCTTGGGCTTTATATCTAAAGTTTATGTTGTGTTTGTGATGCTGTGTTTTAGTGGAGTTCACAGAGGTAAAAGATAAAGAGAAATCCTGTTTGAGTTTACAGACTTTGTGAAATATTTGATGGTTTTTTCAGGTTGTACTGACTGTGTGAGTATCTTTGTGACTGTCAGATTGGAGAAGCACAGCAGAGTCTCACTGTAGGTCTGCAGTTCAGATGAAGGCAGTTCTGGTTGTGGAGCAGTCTGATGGTCTGCAGGGAACACTGCTGCTGTGGGAAGCAGCTTTGGACTGGCTGCCTCTCTTCAACAAACGCACAGGTAAAAACAACAACATGAGTAATAGCGAGTTGCATGAGTGAAGAAGCTGCTGATGGTTGGCTCTGTTAATGGTGTCTTCAGATGCTGTGTGGGACTTCCATGTCCTTCTGGTGAGGGAAGGGTTGGCGTCTGATCTCCTGGAACTGCACTCCACCCCCTGGAGCTCGGTACGGGCCCTGGACCAGACTGACCGCAGGCTGCAGGACTTCTGTCGGATTCAGCCTTGCCGAAAGGAAAGAAGCAGTCCAGTGGAGCTCGACGTAAACACACTTCTGTCTCAGAAGTACAGTGGTGAGTTCTGTCAAAACCACAACTTTAACAGAATCCTGCTGATCAGAACACCAAGTTAAAGGTTTGACTTTATGCTCCAGGTGAGGTGGAGCTTAAAGTCCAGATCTTGGCATTCCAGTTCCGGGATGTTTCGCCCTCTCAGAACCCACCTCAACCAGTTCTGGACAGCTTTACGCCGCTAGAGGCCATCGTGGCAGTTCTGAGAGGTGGCATCACCTACACTGGCTGTGCTCGCTGCTCCACGGAGCTTGAAACTGACGTCAATGAGATCTACATCCCCTGTTACCCCTGCCTGCCTCACACTGCTGTGCGCTGCTTCTACAGGTGCTGCTGATGTCCTCGTGCAGGTTGGATGTGATGCACGTTTTCCTCACATCACTTGTGTTTTCCTCAGACCAGGTGCGCTGACCGTCAGTGGACAGGGTGGCCGTCGTCTGCGTGTTGATGTCCCGCCACTTCCTATGCAGAACATCTTGAATGTTCCACCTGATAAACTTCAGAGGACCTCAGGTAGGTCCGTCCCTGAAGCTGCTCAGATGTGCTGATCAACCTGTCATCAGATGGATTAATGCTGTTCAACTTTCTGACCCAGGAACTCAGATGAAACACATCCAGGCTGCAGCGAAGCAGATCCAGAACCTGCTTGCCTGTCCCAAGAAAACCACCCTCACCCTGCAGAGTCATTTCCTGTGTGATGAGAACAGCGTCATAATTAGTCAGGAATTAAAGCTTTTGAACTTTCATTTGATTTGAGGAGATCCTACCAACACAAGGGACAGGGCTTACATCAGGTGTTCTTCAGGTTCTATAGAACAGGAAAAGTCCACTGCAAGGAGCCAAGTTTGGAGATAATCCTGTAAGGCTGACTGTTCAACTACTGAAAGAAGCTATCGTAGAATATTCATTTTGAAATGTCATCATTTGAACTGAGATACAGATTAGAGGGTTTGAGCTTGTCTTATACTTAAATCCCAAACGGTAGTGGCTCGTGAGCATAAAAATGCTCACTTCAGCAGGAGTGTGGTGGAGAGTGAAGCCGAAGGCTGGGCAGTAGCTGAGGACAACTGGTTCTGACGCACCGGCAGGGACTGGTGGTGGTTGAAGGCCTGGAGGACGAGGAGCTGGTAGAGACAAAGAAGCTGCAGTCGTGGAGAACATGGAGGAGAATAAAAAATCCTTAAACTATATGTCAGCCGAGCTCACTAAACTGGCCTCACAACAGGAGAAGCTGATGGGCCTGATGGAAGAAGTCAAGACATTGAAACTGACGGTGCAGGAGAACGACGAGGATATCTGAACTGGAGAGAAGAGTGGATGACTTGGAACAATATTCAAGAAGAGAGGAGATCATCATATCTGGACTGAGAACGAGACACAGAGCATACGCTCGAGTTACTTCAGGTGACATGACAACAAGATGCATCACGAGGTGAGACACAATCACTGCAACAACAAGTTGTGTCATTTTTACAAACACATCAATATTCAAAAGAAACAACGTCAGTCTGTCACACCCTGCCCAGCAGAGGAACCAACATAAGATTCACCAGCAGCAAGATGAGAGATTAACTCTTAACACAAGCAAGGAAATTAAAGGGAACTAAAGTATATATAAATATATAATAAATGAACATTTAACAAAAAAGATGCAAACATCACACGAGAAGCAAGGTTATTAAAGGGATCCCTGATTAGTTGTAACATTAGACTTTATCCATCCATCCATCCATATTCTTCCACCTATCCGGGGTCGGGTCGCGGGGGCAGCAGCTTCAGAAGGGAGGCCCAGACCTCCCTCTCCCCAGC